TATTTTGTTTATTTGTGTAGGATATGGTACAAGCAGGGACAGATACAATAGCTATAACAGTTGAATGGGCTATGGCTGAACTTGTAAGGAATCCAAGAGTTCAACAAAAGGTTCAAGAGGAGTTAGATCGAGTTATTGGATCGGATCGAATCATAGATGAAACAGATATCTCTAATCTCTCCTATCTACAACATGTTGTCAAAGAATCACTAAGATTGCACCCTCCAACTCCACTAATGTTGCCTCATATGGCAAGTAACAATGTCAAAGTAGGTGGTTACAATATTCCTAAAGGTTCAATTGTACATGTTAACGTGTGGGCGTTAGGTCGCGATCCAAATATTTGGAGAGAGCCATTGCAATTTAGGCCAGAGAGATTTGTTGAAGAGGATGTTGACATGAAGGGACATGACTATAAGTTATTACCATTTGGTGCTGGTAGACGTATATGTCCAGGAATGAACCTTGCAATTAATTTGGTGACATCTATGTTAGCACATTTGTTGCACCATTTTGTTTGGTCACTTCCTAATGGTGTTAAGGTGGAAGATATTGATATGATGGAGAGTCCTGGCACAGTAACATATATGCAAACTCCATTACATGTGGTTCCTACTCCTAGGTTACCTAGAAACCTATATACACATGTTGAGTGAACTATGTATCACACATTTATCGAAGCATCCTGGACTTTTGTCGATTCCCCTAAATTATAAGTAGTCAGTAACGTCGTTTATTTTTGTATTTACTTATTATATGTTGTATTTTAAGCCAATAGTTACTTTAATTTCATGTTTGATGAAGTTGTAACATTTTTTCTGGAATAAAATGTATGCATTATTTTTATTTTGAAGTACCGAAGAAATTTCGAAATGCATGTCTGCAGTGTTTATTTTAGACAATAATGTAAAATGAATTTCAATAGCAAGAATACGCTCTTGCTCACGAATCTACTGTTCTAACTCAAACCAAGAGAAAATAGGGGCCCTGAACGGGAGAAGAATAAGGCCAAGCTGTCCTTTGACTAGTTTTATTGTTTTTTTGGGGAATTTACTTAATAACAAAATTTCACTCATAAGCATGTTCACATCGTGATCTAAGTTTCATATCCTATATATATTAGAAAAAAATATATAGTACAACCCCTAAATATATTTATTATTGTATATTAATTTAAAACCGTCTTAATAATTCAAAAACGTTGTCATTTTTAAACCCAAAGCTTTTTACAACTATTTTACACAGATTTTTACTAAGAAGAATCAAAAGAATTTTGAAAATAGAAAAATATTTTAATAGAAAACACTTTCTCTCATAGTAGAAGCAATTTTTTTTATTGTGATTATGGATGTAGGAAAATCCTCTTTGAATTGTCCAAGATAATATCTTAATGGGAATTCATTTATTTCTGTTTGGTTGACTCGCTTTGATTTTGATGCATTTTATGTAACAGACTTATATATATGGTCCAAAAATATGAGTCTGATCCTTATAGACTAACAAAAAATAAATAACATATTCCTATCTGCTACTTACTTGTCCATTTTTCTCTTTTAGATGTTTCTGTTTATTTGTCTATTTTGACAAATTAAGAAAGGATTAATTTTTTTTTCCTATTATATCCCCATTTAAACTTCTTGAAAATTTCATAATTTTAATTTATCATTTTTGAAATCATATTTAATAAAAGTAAGATTATAACTTCACTATGTTAATTATTGTTATCTTAATATGTGTGCCTTTTATAAAGTGAATAGAGACTGCACGAGTATAAATCTAGCATGGTAAGATTAGTGAATTTCAAATTAATGTCCACATTCTTATTCACTTACGTACACATGAGGACTTTTTTTTTGTTTCACTATTCATAGTAGGATGGTGACGCCATAAATAAGATAGCCTTGTTCATATTACTCAAATTAGATGGTATATAACTTATACATATTGACCATTTAAAAGTTGACTTCTTTTTTTCTTCTTTTCATATAAAACCATAATTTTGTTATGTCATGCTTATTTGAAGGTGACATATCTAGTTTTGAAAAAGTTTATTATTTTTTTTTAAAAAGTCCAAAGATCTTACTCTTAAAGGCATGATACATAAACATTATCATTAACTTGACGTTATTTGATAACTGTAATTTTTAATTTTATGTGTGCATAAATAGATATTAAATTTGTATAAAACTAAGCAAATTAGCTCATTCGTCCTACATGACACCCTACACGGCTATTTTGTATATCCTACGTGGCTTCCTACGTGTATTATGTCATGTAGGACATATGTGTCTAATTGTTCAATTTTATACAAGTTTAAATATCTACTTATGTCCACTCAAAGTTGAAGGGCATAATTGTCAACTGAAGTCAAGTTAAGGGTTATATTTATATATTATTATAATCTCAATATGAATATTACGATAATAGTTCTACCTCGATATATTATCATTCGATAAATGAATCATATTGTCTATGTATGGCTTTATTTAGGCTCATCACAGTCCAAACATTGTATGTTGTTTGGATCCGCTCTAGTAATTATGTTGCTTTAAATTTCATTACATGTCGATTAGTTTTACGGTGGTAAATAATATTGGTCAATATAATATATTGCAACTCTTTTTTTTCCTCTTAAATTAAATATTTCGAAAAAAAATTTATTACAAATTCACGTAAATTTTAGTTGAATGTTTCTTTCTTGACTTTCAAAAGAAAAATAATTTGCATTAATTGGTAAGAGCCTTAATTTGCTTCACCCAATTAAAAATACTCAAGTCGTTCAAAATAAGAGTGCGTATGACTATTATTTAAATATATTCTAATTTATCTACAATATATCATTTATTATTTATAATATTTTAACATTATATTCTCTCGTTTATTTTTATTTATTCATATTTAAATTGATACACCTCTTTAAAAGTAATTAATAAAATGATAAATCGTATTATATTATTCTTTAAACAGCGACAGATCCATAATTATATGAATTTCCTCACCAAAAAGTTAATCAATTTTTTACATATAAATAATAGATGTTCATGAACTCTCTCTAACGCCTTTGTGTATTTACTTTTTATCTATCAAATTCTTTTAATGAAAAATTCCAATTCTATTTTGGATATACTAAATTCATGATTTTGAAAAATGAATAGCGTAATATAGAATCAAGTATAAAATGATGATAAGTGTTTTTCTTCTGAGCTTATTGGATTTGCATGGAAGTGAGAGAAAGGTAGATTAATTTATTAATATAGATAGACATGCAAAATTAATATATGATTATTTATATATCTAAGTGTCAAATCATAAAAGAATCAAGTTGGTGATGCCGCAAATTATAATTTATTACGTATAATTTGTCAACTCAATTTATGAACCAATAAATAAGGCGATATGGTCAAAATATGGAATAATAAACACACTTTTCTCAACTTCTATTTCACTCTTTACAAGTTGGTCACAATTAATGAGATAGACCGCAAAGGGTTCCACTTGCTATGTTTTTTCTTTATTTTTATAACTTCAATTTGCTATATCTGAGTCGAAGATTTTTCAAAAAATAATTTATCTAATATCTTCACGATGTAAAATAATGATAAGATTTGCATGCATTTTACTTTCTCAAAACCTCACTATGAGATTTCACTGAATATATTGTTGTTGTTGTTGTTGACTGCAAAGGTTCATTTAAACTTTCTTTGAAAAATTTACATTGTGTATATAAGATTAAAACAGTTTAAATATATTCATTATTAGATTTTTTTTACTTTGTCGTCTGTTTACTTTTTTATTTATATAAATAAAAATGCTGACTCTACCACTGATTACCTAACATATGCCATATGACTTATGATTTGATAGGATAATTTTATTTTTTTTACGTGTATATATCTATATCTCAAACTAATATTGAATATACTATTAAAGTAGGGCTGTTTCTTCTGAGGAAATGAAAAAAATAGTATTTAAAGGGGGCTTAGCTTGCCTTATTTCATCACACACAATTATATTCATTTATTTCCCATAATGGCTTTTCCTTTAGTACTCTCTCTATCGATATTTATCATCTTTTTATGTTACAAACTCCACAACTAACGGTCAAGCTACCTCCAGGTCTTTGATTGTGGTCAATTATTGGAAACCTTTTAAACATAACGCCAATGAGGTTTCGATGCTTTGCTGAATGGGCCCAGTCCCATCTTTTCTTTTTACCTCGGATCACAACTAAACGTGGTGGTGAATAATGCGGAACTTGCTAAAGAAGTTCTTAAAGAAAATGACCAAAATTTGGCCAATAGGTTTAGAACAAAACCTCTTGATAATGTGAGTAAAATTGGGATGGATTTGATATGGGCTGATTATGGGCCTCATTATGTAAAAGTAAGAAAAGTTTGTAATCTTGAACTTTTTACTCCAAAGAGACTTGAAGCCCATTAAAGAAGATGAAGTTACTGCCATGATTCACAACATTTTCAGAGATTCTAATAAGCATTGTAAGATTAAAGGCTAATAGGGAAACTGAATATTTTTTCGGTCTCAGTTTTAGTTGGTTCATTATGTTAAATTAATAAGATTAAAGGCTAAGAGACAAATTGAATACAAAAAATATTTACAAAGTAAATTGTTAATTTTGAATTTGAAAAAGTACATATAACAATATAATTGTAGCTTCGGATCTTAATACAAAATAAAATAATTACAAGCCCAAATTTGAAATAAAATATATAAATTTTGAAAACTATAAACTAACTAAAAATATATTAACAAAGTAGATTATATATATATATATATATATATATATATATATATATATATATATATATATATATATATATATATATATATATATATATATA